TGAGCTGCTGACTGACAAGGTTAATTGCTGCCTGCCGTTAATGCTGATAACGATTTATGTTGACAATTCCTGGTGTTCCTGGCGCAGCCGGAGGTTTGTCATGCGGGGTCAGCCCCTGCTGGCCCTGCTGTCCCCTGCTGTCCCCGCAGCTGGGAGCTCCCATTCCCTCAGCACGAGGGAAGGGAATTTATTCCCTGAGAAGGTCTCTGTGAAAAATGCATGTAATTTTATGATTGGCTTTTTTGCAAATATTCAAATGAATATTATATGTGTTGTATTATAAAGGGATGCTGTATTACTCTCTTAAGTAGTGTTTTAAATATTGTTTTAGGTTATAAAAATTGTTAAAATATAAATGATGCTATGTAAGATACTTTTCTAAAGAAAGGACTTGCAGTGAGATAGCAGCCACAGGACACCTGAATCTTTCAGAGGAAAAGAATTTATTGCCCTCTTTTTAGAAGAAATTAACTTCTTCATGCCTCCAAGGCGCTGTTAGGATTCAGAGGAAGAAGTTGATAATGACCAGAGAGAATCCTGTGTTTGAATGGAATTTATGCATCTTGTATGAAATGTATGAATATGCAACAGGCTATTGCTTTTAAGGGTTAATCCTTTGTTAACGGATGTTCTTTTTCAGGCTCGTGCTGCCCAGAAAAAGGTACCAGGACTGTCCATAACTCTTTGTTTCTATTGTCTCATATTGTCCTAATTCAAATTGTCCAAATTATGATTACTCTAATTGTATTACTATTTTTATAACCATTTTATTACTATTAAACTTTTAAAATTTTAAAAGCAAGTGATTGGCGTTTTTCACAGTCTTTCATGCTAAGTGATGCAGAAGCAGCTTTGCAAAGGCATCTGCTGCTTTTACCTTTTTCCCTTCTTTTTTCGCTGTGTTCTTTGCATATTGATCAGGGTTCAGAGCATAAAAGTGAGGCTGGGCTTGGCTCTGCTGATCCCCCTCAGCACCAGCCTCAAAGCTTTGCTTTTCTGGGGGCTCAAGCGAGTAGAGATGTGAAAGATTTTTGAGGGTGACCCTTAAAAATGCTTTAAAAACGAGAAGGAGTTGTCTTTATTTCTCAGTGTGCAGAGTGGGCTGTGCCACTGAAGCCCAGAGCCGCCCCTGGGGCTGTGCCTGCACTTTTTGGGGTTTGTTTTATCTCTGTAGAAAGGGCACAGCTCCAACAGCACTCCCTGCTCCCATCCCAGGAACCACAGATGTTTCCTCCCTGCCTGGATATAACAAAGCGGAGCCATAAAGATTCAGACTAATAAACACTGGCCTTTAGGGTGCTCTCAGCTTTTATGGGGCTAATAAGATTTTTGACTTACATGGGAGGGAAGAGGCAAACAGAGCCTTTATGAACCTGGAGGCCTTGCTGGGGCTCCTGCACCTCTCTGTGATGAAAAGCTGAGGCAGCCTGCAGGCAAAGCACGGCAGAGAGAGCTCCTGTGGATGGATGGCTCTAATGGAATATCCAGGTTTAATTACCTGTCTGATACCAAGCTGTGAGGGCAGGGAGAACTGCTCTGTCTGAGCCTCATTGTCTCTTCCCTCCTTTTGGCCAAAATTGGGACCTTCCCTTCCTCTCCTGAGACCATCACCACTGCCCCAAATGTGCCTCAACCCCTTGGTGAGCACCTTGGAAACAGCATTTCCCAGGTGTTTGGGTGCAGTTGGGAACTGGTTTTATCATCACTGGCTGATAAAGTTGGGATGTTGTTAAACAGTGGGAGTCTGGGATGGAATCTGAGCAAGAAGGGACATGTTAAGTATAAACAGGCACAAACTTCATTATTTTCTAGAAATTATTTATTTAAAATTTAAAACCATATTACTTCATACAGCAAACTGTGCACTTTGATATATCACAGTGTCTTAAAAAGGAAAATAATCAGAATTTTTTCTTTTTTTTTTTTATTTTTTGGAAATTGTATTTACATCGGCCTAGAATGATCAGCAAGTAACACAGTTACTATGAAACCAAAATTGTTACAAAATGTTTACAAAAAACTATATTCATAGAAATTCTGCATGTCCACAAAGGAAAATCCCCTGAATGTCACGGAGAATATTTTTTCCTTTTTCCCACTCTTTTCTGTTTATTTATTTTTTTTAAATTTTTATTTTCTTTTTTTTTTGTTTTTTGAGAAACATGTCAAAGTAAGGTACAGAGCAGAGGGCTCATGATGCCAATGCCTGGGGATGCCCCTGCCCTGCCAGCCCCGAGCTGGATGCTGGGGTGAGCACTGGGTGAAGCCACCAGGCCCCACAATGTCCCTTTGCTGTCCCCTTCCTGGAGAGCCTCTGTGCTGGCACCCAGGTGGAGCAGTGGGTGCCCAGAGCTGGCTCCCCTTTGCATATTCCATCTCTCTGTGGGTCTGTCCCCTCCACACCAGACCTGGCACGTGCTGTTGGTTGACTCCAAACAGAAATTCCACCCCGGGGAAGCTGCTGGCTGTCCCTGCTCTGTCTCACAGGAGAGTTGGAGGGAAAAAGCAAGTGATAAGGGGATGGTGAGCCGAGGTGACGACAGTTTAGATACAGTTTAATAACCCAAACCTGCTTTTTCTGTATTCCTGCTCAGTTTTCCAAGCGAAGGAAGGAACAGCGTTGGAAGTCCGATGATTCCAGACTGAGTTGTCGCCAGTCACGGACGCGCTCACGGAAGGCTTTGAGGCTTTGTCATCGTGTCTGTCCCTTCCCAAGCCTCCAAGGACGTGGTTGTGAGGCCCTGGGCTGGCTGCTCCTCCTCTGGCATGACCAGAAATGGCTTTGGAGCACACGGGGAGGCTCCGGGAGCTCTCCTGGCCAAGCTGCCCCCGGTCCCGCAGGAAGGCTGGGGCTGAAATCCTGCATTTCCCCTCGGGTCACAGTGAGCGGGGCCAGGGGCAAGGCTCTGCACCAGCCTGGGGTCCCTCTGCATTTTTTGGGCGCTGCAGAACATTCCCTTGTTGGATGTCAAGCGTTCCAAGAGATCAGCACAAAGCCGTGGTGTAGATGCGGGAATTTGGCTGCAGTTCGCGGCTGATTTAGGGGTGTAGGGATGGGAGGAAAAAAGGTTTGTACACCAGTAATTCCAGATGCTCACCTGTTACATTTGTGAGTAAAATCAAATCAGGCTGGTGTCAATAAATAAATGGGGTTTGTGGTGTTAGCAATATTTATTTATTTTTTAAAAAATCTGCCAAGAAGCAAAACGAATGCTGATTTCTGTGGTATTTTACTCTCTGGACATTTAAAGCCAGTTTCAGGCTTTGTTTGCATCTCTGCTATTTTTTTTTTTTTTTTAGAGCTTAGAAATCCGCAAGGAAAACATAAAATCTACTGCTCTGAGAAGCCAAAGGATTTGCAAAGGAATACAGAAAGCATGTCATTTGTCATTAGCTTTGGGAAGCTGCCCCACACTTCAGCTTGTCCTCTGCTCAAGGTATTTGTGCAGCAAACTGGTAAGAATCTGATGCCCATTGCATTGGCAACTTTCATCCCTAATTCTTCATGTTTTTTGTGAAAAGGTGAAAATGAATGTAAATTCTTTGCATATCTTTGCTTGAGTCAAAATATGACAAATCACCTGGCTTTTCTTGGGGTCACTCTGTTGTTTCTTTACATCATGGAAGAAGCAAAATAAGGACAAACTGTCTTCCATGGTGGGGTGGGGGAGCAGCTCTTCCCCCTTGAGCTGATCTGCTAATTCTGCTCAGCTGGAGACAACCTTCCCAACTGAGCATGGAGAGGGAGAGGTGGGGAAAAATCCAAAATCAGTCAGGTTTTGTCCTTTGGGCAAGGATAAACTTTCCAGAATGGCTGTGAGCTCAGGAGGGCTGTGGTGGCCTCAGCACCCTCTGAGCCAGGGCTCGGGCACTGCTCCATCCCTGCCCTCCACACAGGTGGGGTCCTGCAGGGTCTCTGTCCCTCTTACCCCTGCAGGGGAAGGGTGTTGCTGTTTTCTACACCACCAGTGGTTAAACTAGAGCTTTAAGCACCTTTGCATCACATGTGTGACATCCTGGGTTAAGGTGGGCAGAGAAATTTCCGTTTGTTTGATTTTGTGAATGAATCCCACTGGCTGCCAGGTCCCCTGGCAGGGATGGAGCTGAGGGAAGTAACTCGAGTGTTACCTTAGGTCAGCAGAGGGGTCTTTGGTAATTCTGCCTAAATTCATCTGCAGGACCAACCTTCTGGGTTAAGCAACCTGAAAATAAGAAGTCAATTCATGGAAGATTTCCTAAAAACATTTTAGTGTGTGTTTGCTTAAATCCCATGGAGAGGCTGCCTGAGGGGTGGCAGTTCGTGGTCAGAGCAGGAGGAATCCCAGGCTTGGCTCTGCTTCTCCCAGGTCAGCTTTGGCTGAGATTCATCTTTCAGGTCCTTGATGCCATGGAGAGCACTTAGTCCTCAACCAGGCGCACAGTCCCTCCCAGTGTGGAGCTGCAGTTCAGCACTGCTGAATTTCATGGAAATCGGTATTTTTGGCTCTTGGAAGCTGCTCTGCTCCTGCTGCTGCTGCTGGAGCCTGTGGACATGGTTGCTTCCGATGCTTCTCTGCAGGAGAGACTGAGCTTTGCAGGAAGAGCAGAGGCAGAGCTGAGAACCTGGAGATCACGGTGTCACCCTGGGCTGCAGCTTGGCTTGGGGAGCGTGGGTGCTGTCACTCGGAGGTGCAGGATGTCCTGTGCATGCCACGCTGTGCCCTCCCTGGCCCAGAGCTTGGGTACATTTCAGGCTCACCTTCCCCTTCCCAGCCAGCTGCCCTGGGTCTGCTGAGGAGCTTGTGTCACCTTGTGCCACCACGCTGCTGCCACGTGGCTGTCCCGCTCCGGGGGGCTGCGGCCAGCACAGCCGCGAGGTGAGGGCCACCGCCAGCTGCTCTGGGGCAAGCACAGCCTCCCCCATCCTGGGGCTTCCCAGATGCCTCTCCCATTCCAAAAATGTGCTGTGTGTGTCGGTGTGGGCCAGGTGCTCACACCTGACCGAGTGTTCCTGTTTATTGCCGTGCTGATGGAGCCACGCTCGCGGCTCCTCCTCACCCGCTCGGGGTTGGCTCAATTCTGCTTCACCTCCGCCTGTTTGCAGTGTGTAAACATCAGACTCCTGGGTGGTGGTTGGACTCCATGAGGCCTGGAGGATCGAAGCATTAAAAAAAAAAAAAGGAATGAAAAGTAACAAAACAAATGCAAAAAGCCCCAAGACCCACGTTACTGTCCGTGCTTGGAAGTTCTGGCTCCTCTGCGGTGATGGATGCAGCTGGCTTGCAAAGGCCTTGTTCTCGAAATGAACAAACCAGGCTTTTTTTTTTCTTTTTTTTTTTCTCTCATGTTTTTTAATCCATTCTTCCCTAGTTCAGGGTGCATCCAGCCGTGTCTGCCGCCATTCCTTCCCTCCCAC